AAGAAACAAATAGAAAATAAATAGTTTGCTTTTGATAAAAACAACATATTAATAGATGACACTTAAAGAGACCTTGGCTCATCTATATAAAGCACAACAAAGGCGTAGCGTTAACACTTTAGAACCCCATCAAGACCTTTGACGCTCGTATTGGGCAGCGTCGGCTGAGCGCTCTTTTCTAAAAAGTGTCTCCTAAAGCTTAGTCAATGACAGAAACAGCAGTGTTCTTGTATGCTACTGTCAAGAGAGATTATGAATGGAACTGAAGATATAGTGGGGTAGCGCACAAAAGAGATGCACTTTAGTCACTGTGAAGGTGAATGGCAATGGGAAAAACGTTGCTTTGGTTGGCTCTTTTCTGGGAGGCTAGGAATATATTGATACTTTCCTCTGCTGCGAAGCGAATCGCCATGTTCCAGATCATAGGCTGTTAGGGTTTATTTATAAAACCTTAGTAGCAAACCTTGGTTATGATTCTGCAGAGGGCTGCGACTCGCTAATGACGTTCAGGACAGCGTTTGGAAATGAGCGTGAAGTGTTTACCTGCACTGCAATCATAGTAAGATTTGCAGCGACAATGCAACTTTACATGGGATATCCTTGCTAGCCGCATATAAAGCAATGCGGATAGCGTAACCCAAACTCAAACAATTCGAGAATTGCAAAACCGAAATCATTCCAGTGTAGTTCACACTGAGGAAGCCTACTCGAGGGACCTTTAGGCATGAATTAGGTTGCGTCACGTAACTAGTTTTCAGTTCTTTTGTCTTCTGTCTAAACAGCCCGAGTGTTACGCCTTTTTGTGCTTAACGTCTTTCTTCTACAAAGGCTTTCCTGGGCCCCTAACTATGATCATTTGCAACTAAAAGGTGATATGGACTATGGCAGTGAAAACCACTTTGGTATGTACCTTCTTTAATAAACACGCTGCTGGAATTTCAATTTTAGACAAGTTTAAATAGTCGTTCCTGCGCGTTTTTTAAATCTATGATACAGTGAACCAATTCAGTAGATGAGGAGATGAGTCTGGCTCTCCCCACGTACGAATAATACGGGGTTGGTTGCGACACTGTGCTGCCTGGTAGGTTTGTTTTTTGCCTGCTTGTTTTTTCGCTCGAATTCGTATGTTTGTTCCTGGGTACTCGGCGAATCCTGTTTCCAGAACGTTGCATAATTGTCATGTCTGGGTTCGTTTAAAAAAGTTACGAAAGATTTACCTATATCTTTGTTTTTAAGGAGACACAGATTTCCTCTGCAGCTTTTTTAATTTTTTTTTATAAAAAAAAATTAGGTTTAAGGTTTTTAAGGAATACCTGGTTGTTTCATTGTCTAGTTTGGATAACAAATACACAGTTAAAGCTTCGAGGCATAGCGGCCGGAAAAATCTGTTCCGGCATCTCTATTGTTATTACGTTTTTGCAAACGTATTATCTTCCCTTCGGCAGAACCATCCGCAGGAGTAGGTACTGGAACAGCAGCTTCCCGGCCTCTTACGATGGAAATATTGCCCGTGTATTTGCCTTGTTAGGTAAGATGCTACCTTTTGTGACCTGAGTTTTTACGCTATTTCCGCTTTATTGGAGTTTTGTATTCCGCGTTATCAAAGCGTTTCACAATGTCTTTCCACATCTTTACTTCAATCTTCACTTGTGTCGGGATTTCTCGTCCGGTACTATCTGTGAACCTCGCATCTAAGGGAGCCACTTTTTTGAGTGTCCTCAAGGCAGGTCTCTTTAAGTGATAAAGTCTATTTTCACAAACCTGTCTTATCGGACAAAATTTTCATCTCGTTTGCAAATAATTCTCTTTAGGCGTTCTATCATATCAAGCATACCAAGGGATTCGTTTTCCAAACCTTTGATATAAGGATTATGAGCCGCTTGGACTGTGGTCAAGGGCTACGTCTTCTTTTCCGAAGACTGGGATCGGATTCATCCAGTTTAGTTGCTGTTTTACCAAAAATTACTTCAATGACTACTATCTTACTTCATCTCATTCTCATACCCTACTGCAATGAGGATAGCATTCGAAAAAGCAGCCGCCTCTTCATGATACAAGAAACTAACTTGAAGTAAATTGACTATGGACTCTTAAAGTACTGGGTGATAATTATCCACCGAACATTTAACGTCCTTTTTATGGACTCTGAAAGTAAGATTACTGAAAGTAACGATTTTAGGAACAAATCTATCTTTATAATATCAGGTAATTACTATGAAAACGAGCTTGGACAGACAGCATGTACGATTTTTCTAGAGGATGAGCGATCGTTCGGTCAACGGTAGGCATGTCGTTCTTCAAGCTGACGTATTATATCGTTAGCGGAAATAATTAGAACTGAACATTCAGAATTATTCATCATTGAAATACTCCTGTCCCTTGGAGCGCTACGGAAAACAAAGGCAGGCCCCGTAAGTCGTTAAGTGGTTCAGCCTTAGTTAAGTAATCACATAATCTCCCAATATGTCTACAAGGTTATTTCTGATCCTCCATCTCTCCGGCTATACCGAATAAATTCAATGAAATCTGTGCATCTGACCAGTATTGCAACAAGACCGATCCGATGTACAAACACTCTTTCACCCTTAAGAGCCGCGTTTTGTCAATGTGGCCGCCGTCAACTCCAATCAATGCGAGCTTTGCCTTACACGCAACAAGCGCCATATTGTCTACCTTACGCTTCAGATGGACGGCATTGATATACATGGAATTAGCATATTCCCTATTACTGCCGTTGCAACACATATGGCGCTCCTGTTTTTAAACAGCGTAGTACCTTAGAACCGGTGCTATTCCAGGCAAGCACACCACGCGAAGACTCACCATCTGAGTAGCCTTGCGGCTGATGGCCTATTGAAAATCTGCTTCGCATAATAAATTTCCCGGAATATCCATTTTAATATTATGACAAAAAGCATCATTAATCCTTAGGCGTTATATAAACGTGCACATAACCAGAGTGACATTGACGATAAGTATCTGCACCCCGCGCATGCGACACTTCGTTTAAGGTCATATAAAGTTCTTATTTCTGTCACCCCACTTGGGTGCGCAAGCACGCTTTCTTTTATAGTCATGATTGCCATCAGCTGCCGAAGCTAGAAACTTAGATCAACTATAGCCGTAATTAGGTGGAAAACGCGAATGTGTTTCCCTCTCCCCCTGTAAAAACATGGTGTATCGGTCATACACGGTAGGACTTTTTAGAAATGGAAAATGCACCATCAGATATCTAGTTTCTTCATTTACTGGTATGCGCTCAGTAAAAGCCTGTTTAACAAACCCCCTAACTGCATCACGTAGGTATGCCTTAAGCCGGCTTCAGTTAGTTCCTCCCAGCCAGATCAGCCCCCTCTCAGCCGTGCGTGCGGTTCACTGGACGCCTATGGCAGTAGGTCGATCATGACTGTATTCACAACCAGAGTCTAAAGCGTAACCAGATTCCCATCTTTAACGAAAATCTGAACTTTGATAATTGCCAGCTCCTGCGTCATCAGCGCTCTTTCCCCCCTGAACACACACAAATAGGGAGATTCAAGGCGCAGTGTCGTTTTTATTTATTTGGAATTGTCGTTTTCCCATTTTGACACATTGGTCACTTCAGCCACGCCGCCTCCTGACGTAGAGCCTGCAACTGTAATACGTTGGGAAATCGACTAAAATCTTTTTTGTGAACCACTAAGACATCTCATAAGAAATCTCATACCAGCTGAACAACCCCTATCATTACATCAATTCAGGTCTCACAGGAATAACCCGTTACTGCTGGCACTGACTATTATTCTAATGGTGTGATTCTTCTAAAATTTCATAAGGAACGCCCTGGCAATTGTCGCATACTATCCGTTGGCGACACCGGTCCATCTAGTGAGTAGCCTATGGATGTTGACCGCGCATATTCTTTTGCCTAACTACTTACTGCCCGCTATGGACCATATGCGTGCCTGAACTACATAGACGCCGTCATAACAGTCACACTGATACCAATGTTTTCCGTCTGTTTGCGTTGTTTCAAGCTGCATCATCAGCGTCATCGTTCCTGTTACGAGAACGACAGGCATTAGCTCCCCTGTTATCGACTCTATGGCTCTTATCACCATTGAGAATACAGTCTGCTAATGTGCACTACGAGGAGCCTAAATTTTTTGTTGGATGCTTATCATCCGCCTATATACAATCGCTTTGCCGTTTGCCTGTCGACAAACTAGGAACTCTTCCCTTGGGATTTTAAAAAGATTGTTCCCCTTTCCGGCACGACAAGCTCTACGAGTTTTTTCAGAACGATTCTTCCCAAACATATCCTTTTACCATTGTGTCTGTTTTCTCGTTGAAGCAAGCCTGTATGCAAACATCACAAAAGGAGGTTAGAGTCATGTTTAAGACAATTGAGACACACCATCACATTCAAATTTCTTCAACAACGTATAAAATAATATCTGCTCAAAAGTAAATGGGTTAGGTATATGGATACTAGCAGTTGCCGGCGAATTCCAAACACTAAATTGTAATATAGAATGAGGTTGTAGCACGCCGCAAAAACAAAAGAGAATGAGCCGTTGGGCCAAAGGTACAAAAAGTTTTAGTTTAATACCTTACTATTGTTAGTCAAGCGTTTATGTTACTCTGATACGATACAATTATACCGCTGACTGTACGGAACGATGTATTCTTGTACAATACAAATTGAAGTTGAGATTATAACATGTTTTAGCAAAGTAGCATACATATATTTATTATTAGCCACCCAATTGGTCCTATTATTACCGTCAGAGAATTGTATATTCGCACTATGTAACTCATTAGTTGTCGGTAGAAAGAGAACTTGTTATTTTAGCTCGTTAAGCGGATTAGGAATCATTAAAGTATTATTTATGTGTCTCTGAGAAAGCACATGAAAATCCTAGGGCTTTGCAGGGCAACATGAATTTGAATTGCGCGCTCTTCAATAGAGAGTCTTGTTTTGTAAACATACGACGCTAAAAACAAGCACGAGGTGATACTTCTGATTGGCGGCAGCTGTAATCCTGCGCCGGGCGATTTCGATTCGGTCAATTGTGTTAGCTAATTAATTAACGTTTTCCATGTATTTGTGTCCAGTGCCCGCATCCGTGATTCGCAGTATTCTTACTAACACTTAATTTAAAGTGCCACTGAGTGATTAAGGTTGTGTAGTGCATGTAATAAACATAAAGCCATGCCACAAAATGGCCTTCCAGATGAAATGTCTTCCTTGGTCATTAATTCTGGCGAGAAAATCTGGATCAACCTTTATCCAAACGCATTGTGTAACGTAAAAAAATCTCTTAAGGGTCATCTTGATGAACGGATTGGCAAATTTTGCGACAAGTACGTGTTAGATTACTACACACTTTTTCTTGAGCAAGCATTTTTGAAACCACAGAATGTTGTGTACCTTGCTTAACTCCGATTGGTTTGGACGCATTTTCTAGAACAGATCATCTTTAAAGTGTTTTTGCATAATATTATTGTCTTTCATCAACACAACTTCTCGTATAACCTGCTTTATTCTAAAAATAGTTGTGAGTAACATTAAAATAACAGTTATTATATCTGCAGGAATGGTGGAATTTTACTGAGCTACACAGATCTCAAGTTTCGCGCAAAACACTTCCAGGTGAGACTATTTTACTCAGAACTTTTTTTACTGAAACTCTTATAACTATTCTGTGAATATAGCCGTAATTATACACACAATGCTAATGAAAAGCTTATTTTTTTTAGGAGTAGGTAAAATGTATATTAGGAATTAAAAATGTGTAATTTACGTTTCAAATTCGCCTTTCATTTATTCTTTGGAATTTATTTAGTACACCTTACCGATTTCGCTAAACATTTCTTGTTTTTGGAAAGTATATGTCTAGAATTACCTATTTTCATTATAATTTGGATGGTATTTTCAAAATTTGAAAGTTCCTGCATGTGTGTGTATCCGAAACGAACGTCTAGCAATGAGTAAACACCGACTTCCGAATGGCATTAAACACGATTCGCAACGTTTAACAGCTTTTATTCAAAGCCTTTATACAGCTTGGGACCACCTGACAGAAGGCGGGCCTCTGCCAAAAACAATGGAGTCAACGTAATATGACAAACGTGTCTTCTAATTTAGAAGAGGCCGAAAGGCGTCTTAACTCAATGTCTGTAAATGATGGAAAGATTCCTGAACGCTTATAGTGAACCATGTATCATGTATCATAACGGCTTACAGGATCTTAGACCCGGACCCGATTATATTGCGCTTAGCGTTTAATGGAAATCACAATTTGAAAGTTCTAGTTTTTTTTTTATATTTTGGAAAATACGTATCAGATTGTTGATTCCTACTAATGACAGAGTCCTGTCCTGACTGGACCAAGTTATTGTTTCTAGCTGTTATTTTTTTAGTTCGTGCAAATCATGGCTTCTTCGCCACTTAGAGATTTGCAAATCATTGTATTTAAGTAAGTAACAGATTCGTTAAAAAGCACCCTAATAGAAGTGCGGGGTGGTCTGTTAATTGTAAGTAAAATCCTTTGGATGCCCATACTAGTCATTGTCGCTACCGCATTTAGGACATATAGTCATGCGATTGCACTGCATTATAGTAATATATGAGAAATGGGAATAATATTAGGATGCGTCTGTTATACGTATGTCCTACAAATAATTTATCCTTTATTATGGAAGTATTTTGCTTATGACCTGAATTTAAACAAAACCAGATTTTTTTGCATGTACTAAAAGTATTAATGTTGGCGATTATGTTGATTCGCGATAACTTCTGCTCGCCTTGACCACAGTTTCAATTCGGAACTCAAATCTATCACGGACTCGTTTCAAAGCTTAATTTTACGATCGTACAAACATCTTTTATGTGGCTTAAGCAAACAGGTCAACGTTGTCATGCGAAAGACTTGTCAGACATTCGCTCAATAATGCTCTTTGCATAATAGTCCAGCGGGTTCAAATGTAGATTGCGTAGCAGTTATGTGTTCTTTCAGAATATGCTCTGATTCTTATCCATTGAGTTCCGCATCGATAAGGTAATGAACCACCTTGCTGAAAAGCGTGCTGCCTTTTGTCGTCTATCGACGGTATATAGAAAACCTTTGGTCGCTGGAAAATACGGACATGCCCTAAAATAAGCACCCATGGTAGCCGAACAGCCCAAATCTAAACCCGCTGAATGATTGTGTGTAGAGCATTATTAAATGAGAGCCCAACAAGTTTCGACGTGACAACGCCGATTCGACCTTTTTTACTATTAACGAGACTTTCCTATCTTTGGCAAGGAAACATTTGAAACGATCCCGTAGACGATTCAGCTTCCGAGTTGAAGATATACTCATGGTCATGTAAGGTTATGATGAATAAACATGACTGCCAAAACTGACAATTCTAGCATGCGCAGAAAATGTCGTTGAAATATCCCTTTCTATTTACATACAAATTTATGAACATTATATAGAAAAAAGTGAATGACGATTATAGATGTCGCCATACAAAAAAAATGTATATATACAGAGTATTTCGGATAAACTGGCATAAAATGATTCTTGCTTGTCGATAAGCTCCATTCAAATTGAGATAAATATTCTGAATAAATAAGAACAATTGCATTTGTTGAAAGGGACAATGGTCATTGACGCTTCATGTAACTCTCATGTGCTTAAATTACAGCAATGCATACGAAAGAGATATTGGCTCGTATTAGAGAAATATATGAGGTTTATAGTTTTGATAAAAAGTACGTTTTATATGAAACCAATGCACAACGGCTGTTCCTGGCTCATACGACAAATGGTCCGCCAAAATACGTCCCAATTTATTTGATCACCAAGTACATGCATTTTTATTATATTAAATGAGTCTGGCCATATTAAAATATGATTTGAAGTTGTACATCTAACGATGTCAGTGTTTATTAATGAATCAGGTCTTCGAGGACTATCCCATGTGTCGGTTTCCAGTTTCAATAACAGCCACTTACTATAAACCAGAGCCGGGAACAATCGCCACGGGAACGATAACAAGGTATACTCCTTCATTCGGTAGTCGATTTAGGTATGATCTCTTATATATATCTAGTACGTTTGGCTTATGCCAAACATTATAGTGAAATACAAAAAAGAATACGGACTGTTGGTAATCACTAACGGCAAGTTTATCTGTAAGATATTAAAAAAAAAGTGGAAATATAACTTTTCAACTCGTTTTCGAAGTGGTCTTTGGTACAACGGTGGTATGTTGAACGATTTTAATTTAATTTATCGAAGACAAGTTTGGGTTCCTTGTTGCCTTTTATGACTCTGCTGCGTTGTGGTCTTTATAAATAACTTTGTTTTCCTTTCAGGGTGGATCACATTAGTGTGACCTGCCTAATCCATGGTATGATCCATGTCATGATTGCGCTTCGGAAATCGGTCAATTTCGACACGTGGTGCGCCCTTGGCCAACAGATTATCTTCCAGATCCGTGGCGGTGAAATGCATTACAAAGGTGTCAGGTAAATTAAATCATCTCCTTCCTGGTAGATAGGTTTTTTGGTGGATAAAAACTTTTCATGCTGTAAGTTAAAAGTAACTGAACCAATTTACTCCATTTTGTTTAAATACTATTAACCTTAAATCTACCACTACCAGCCAATGTGACGGTTTGCAAACTCTTTTTGCGACTTCGAAGATTTAAATATTATCACATCCCCATTGAAGCCTGCACCATTGAAACACCGTTGAAAGTTTACGTTTGATTATTAAAAAAATAACCCTCTTAAGGATCTGTCGTTTTGGCCGGACACCGTAAGAATAAATATATAAGGAACGTCGGCATGCCTAATGTGTACATGTATACATAATAACGATGTGCATATATATCTAGTAGTTAGGTTTCCTTTATGATTTTTCTAACACAGCTGCTAGATTATAGTTGACTAAAAGTTATACTAAAATTAAAAAAGGAATACGGAGTGTTTGCAATCACTAATGGCAAATTTATTTTTAGAGTTGTGCAAAAAAATAGCACCAATGCTATTATGTCGTCTGCTAGGAAACTGTACAATGTCTGCACAGAATAGAACAGAAGCTTATTTTTTGAAGATCTCAACTGTTATTTTTCATAATTGGTTACAGATTAAACGCTATCGTTACGGAAGAATGTGTTGATCGTATGAGAATTGCTTTTCCTCCAGATTCTGTGGGTGAGTGTCCACTGACATTCTCGGATGGACAGGAAACTAGCAGAATATTTAAGGAACGCGGTAGCTGATATGCAGGAGATTAAATGTAGCAAGCTGGGAGGACTGGGAATCGTTGGTTGTATTGCCTCAAAGATTTTGTTCAACTTATCCTATTAATTATTTTTGTAACATCTCTAGTGATAAATCAAACACATTCTGGATGTTTACTATCGTGAGGTTTTTCGGCAGTAAACGTTTGGCAACTCAGGCGTTCGCCTAGTTGACTTAATCGGAAGGAATTCGATTTTCTGCTGCAACCCTCAATTAATAAAGTCACTAATATTTTCAAAGCAGGTTCCCGCAAAAGGACATTCTCATCAAGCTCCGCAGATTCTTCAATGACGACACCGAACAAACAATTTAAGGGAGAACGTAGTGTCATGCATTTAAATATACCGTCGAAATCACTCAAGAGGCGAAAATCAGGTTATATTGACCTTGAGGATCAACTGAGCTACACTGACGCTTGTAGTCTAGATGCTTGTGAGGATGAGGTTAATAGCATAGATGGTTAGTAAGAAAGAGTTGAACGAAAGCCTTAGGTACAATTTGGGTATCTGCGTACTAGTAATATTCATAAGAAATATAATCAGGTCTGCTCAGGGTCATTTGAAACTGCATAATAGATCGAGATTAAGAACTTAAAAAAATCTGTTTCTCTCATCATGTTATCAATTCATCCTTATGACTAGCGAAGGGGGCTCAAGCAAGCTTAAAGATCTTTGCTGAAACATCTAGGTTTTCGCTTACAGTTTATACTTAAGTGGATATCCGTTTATCAATAAACGAGCCTCTTAATAACTATTTCAGGATCATTAGATTTCGGAACCCCCGGCTTGACATCAACGCAACTTAGACAAAATAAGAGGATGAGATACAAGGATGACAAAATCGATCCAGATAATGAGGTAAATCATTAGTGAGCAATTTCACTCTACAATCTTTTGCAGAGTTGGGCTACATGTGCTAAAACTTCATTAACATTATCATGGATATTGGCCAATGCTGCAGGAAAGAAAAACTATACCAGTATATTTTTAGGGACTATACTTACTAATTATAGTGCACTTATTACAATTTATTATTATTTTCGAGATAGTATCGATTGAACAAGGCTATCTGGATTACTGATAGTTTCATGCGAAGGAGTCAATACTGCTAGATATCTATGATTATGATTATCAGCAATATGCTGCATATTTTGACAATATTGTTTTATCTGACCGATACGTTATGCCAATAAATCGATATTTTTTTCAAAAGCAACCATATGTGACACTTTGCTGCAGTTGTTGGAAACTTGTTTGTTTCAATTTCACTGTAAAATTAGTATCGTCTGCACTTGGTTTCATAGATGCTTGAATGCAGTGGCCGATATAGCACTCTACATAGTCATGTAATATAAGTCAATGTAATAACTTTTATAAAAAAGTAACTTACCTTCAGTTTGTCTTGGAAAATGTGGCTTGGGGACAGACGAAACTCTCATAAATAATGAGTTGAAAATTTGTTAATTTGATAAAATACGAAAAAAATGCAAAGCTGTCTTATATAAACCCACTTTTTGAATATTAGTCCCTACAGCGAACTGTTTCCTACACTAAGTTCCCAACTTGTGTGCATCTAAAAGCTCTCACAGCTTAGTAATAGTTAAATTATATTACATGACAACCCTGAGAGCCAAATGTAGCAGAGTAGGATGGAGCTGTATGGGCCATTGCATTTCAACCATATATGGCCCCGGTTCCGTTTATGCTAATTTTACAGAAAAACTGAAAGGAATAAATGGCTTCAGAGTATAACCCAGTTTACTAGTTATTGGGTTCTCGAAGAAGTATTAACCGCTTAAAGCAAATATTTTTTATACTTTAAAATAATATTGCCTATCTAGATATGCGCCGTTTTAATCAATAACCTTTTGCCATTTTTGTGGACACATTATAATCCTACCGATGTAGTGACAGTCTGACGGTAAAGAATCCGAGAAATATGGCAACGGCATTAAAATTTCCTATTCAAGTTTTTTAAATTTTTTCCAGGTAGCTAAAGGTGTTGTTTGGCACTGTTACAGTGGACGATAATACCATTTCTCTTCACTAGGTCCGGTACTTTTTTCAATGGCTTACTTGTTAGTTGTTGACAGTAGAAATCCGAATAAATTGACAGCAACCCTTAATGCACGATTCCTTTCCAATCCTGTTAAACATATTGCATCACCTTTTTTTGGCGTTAATCACAAATTTTGAAGCCCATTTTTCTTTTTTATTTGTCTATTATTGCCGTATATGATCCACTTTTCATCACCCGCGATCAACTGTCTTAGAAACAGACCCTTTTCGTCAGGGTTTCATAAGGTTTTGCAGATGAAAATACAATCGAGTAGATTTTTGTGCGTCAGTTTCTGTGGCACGTAGTTATAGAGCCTTTTTCTTTGTAGCCAGCTTTCTTTAAATAACTTAAAACTGTTTTATAATGGGTGTCTAATTATTTGGCGATATTACCGGTTACTACCGTGTCGTTCTGGCTCAATTTTGTTATCAAAACCATTAAGGTTTTCCATACTCGGTCAACCATTGACCATATTCGACATTGAAGTTTCTAGGATGAAAGTGACCTTTTTTTCGAAAATGCATCTTGACCACAAAAAAAACCTGTTTTATAGGTCTAGGCAGCATTTGTGCCTTTTTCGCAGCAGATTTTAAAAATACAGTGAATTTTTGCGAGAACTTCACACATCTTCAGGGCGTTCTATCTTAGGTCTGGATGCAGGAATTTCAATAATCCTGGCATATCTACTACAAAATCTTAGCTTTCAAACAACATTAACGCCGACTCGATAAAACTCACAATATTTGAGATGCATGACTCTGAAGCCATCTAGCTAGAAAAACAGCTAGGACTTCGAAAAAGTCCTGGTACTTCCGCATTCGAAATATTTGCATGCAACTTTTTCTACGAAAGCGGCGATCCTTTGCTTTTTAATTATAGTACATTCGGAACGCATAAGCTGTAAGCGAAATTATAAAAACACTACGGAAGAGCGGCTAATTCCAGTAGCCAGATTTGTTCAAAAAGAGTGACCGCGATGGAAAATTCCTGAGTAAATCGAAATACCGGAATATGCAGTTGATAACGCAGCTCAATAAGCCAACGGTAACGTACCGATTATTAGAAAGAACTATAAACAAAAATCGACAACGGTGTACAAGTGTGCGACGCAACTTAGAGACAAAGCGTCCTAACAGAGCTACGGAAAAATCAATTTGTAACAATTTTTTAAGAGCGTTAAAGCATGACAGAGCGCATACTTATGTGTCCATTAGGACCACACGATGCCATATTACTTGAGATATGTTACATTAAAACCATACTTTTTCCATAACTCAATATATAGATATATGTTAAACCAAAGCATCGAAGTTCAGGTTACCAATACCGTGTCACATATGGTTCCTTTTAACAGATACTTTAACGACTTCAATGGGACAACGCTAGACGCACCGCATTGAAATCGTGATCAGAGATGAGCGTTTACCATGGTTTTTACGAAATTTATATTACTTATATATATAGTTAGTATGACTGTCTTCAGTCTGATCAAGTTGGCTTTTTCCCTTTCTCCTCGAAAAAAAGAAAAGAATATTGATATGGTAATAACTAAGCCATTCAAAAGCCGACTTCAAACTGTGCAGCAGAATTTCGTATGGAATTATGGTAGACAAATGATAATCGTTGGCTTGCCTGACTTGGCTAATGGTCGGTCTTTCAAATCCTTTCTAGGAAGGAAACAACCTTTTAGTTTAGAAGCCTTGTAGTTTTGTTAAATGACTGGCCCGTTCACTAGCGGTCCGCATAAGCCGCTCTACAACGGTATTCTTCATGTCAATAAAAAAAATCGACAAACAATGTTCAAACTGCTGACGACGACGTGATATAGTTGCGAGCATGAGTATTTTTGACTCGCATCGCCGGTTGCAGCAATGGCTGCCGCCACCCCATGGGCTTTACCTCTATTGCAGTTTTTCTCTCCCTCAGTTACGAGCAAATTTTTTTTTTGCCATACATTAGTGATCCTTTCACAGAGACCCGGAACATTTAGCGTTCCATGCTTATCCGAATTCGTAATTTTATGGGCTTTTGGACGTACTTTATAGACTTAAAGTTTACCGAATTGCCAGGACACGGTAGCACCTAAATGACAATGCGCCCTGTAGTGCATAGAGACAAAACTACCGTTAGAAAACCATTTTCGTACTTAACGCAACACACTTTGCCCTCGATAATCTCAGCATATTCCTGCTGCCCCAGTATTCTTTATGCGAAAAGTATCATCTCAGAGCCTTTGCTAGAAATCATGCTACACTACAACTTTAGAATGGAATCGTTCGGCAAAATTTTCCCAGTCCTCAAAGGACTAATTTCTGATTTGGTGTGCCTGATAAACACATTTCATTCGATTAGCCGATTAAGGTTTTTGGAGATAGACACTTAGCGCGAGCCCAGCCTTTTTAAGTCGGCGACAAAACGAAATCCTCGGACTTTCAGTCTGCTTTGAAAGACGTAGTACAAGACGAACCTGTCTTTTTGTAGTTTGTAAATAATTATACGCTTTTGTTTGTAAATAATCATAGCACACCTTTGTCGATGGTTGATAGCGATTGTACGCGACAACATCGGAAGGTTTGCCTTCAGTTTCCCTTAGTAACGTTGGCGATCGCATGCCGGGAAGTGTGAAATATTTCAGTAGTTTTGCGTGGCGCACATTTCTTTTGACCTTTAAAGCCACCTGCTAATCAGTGTTTTCTGCTCCCTTTTCACTTTCATGACGGAAAGACGTCAAATCATCAAAAAGCCCTTATACCAGTCAAACTTCTTTTTGAACACTATTATTTAGCTGTACATGATGCGAAATATTGGCGCAAAATTTAAATGCTGTATTTGCAAAAATTCGTGAGCAGTTTGAAAATGTTTGCAGATGTCCTTATCGACCTACAGGATGTTAGTGTGAAATAGAGCAAAACGGCTTTCATAAGTCAAAAAAGTATTAATAATATAAAAAATATGTCGCTTTAGTGCTGTGCAATTTGAAGTCGACTTTTGAATACTGTCTATCTGGGTCTATTTGTTTGGGCACTGACCATATGTAAAAAAGGGCGTAAACGTCCCATATGCATATGATAATATTATCACGCGTACCTTACAGAAGGACGAGGTCTCACATATGTTTATATAGGTAGCATTTACGATAGGTAAAGCCGGCATCACTAATTTCGTCAGTCCTATTTTTTCGGAATGATATGCTTAACCTAACCCATTGTGTATATAACATTCGAGAACTTTTTTCTTTTTTTGCTAGGAGTTGAAAACTCTGGTTGGTGATGGAAATAATCTTCTTGGGCCGAAGCGCATCAAAGTTGAGTATTCGTCACAAGAGGAAACAACACCGTTCCAATGTAGCAAGATCCAAAAAAGAAGAGCTCAGTAGGTGTTATTGACCATTCATATGAGTGATGTTTGTTAGAGAAAAATAAGTAGCAGATACAGTAACATTACTTTTAGAAACTGCAAAAGATTTTCTCGTGTATTGTACAAACTAATAAATTTCATGTGTTAATACTGCATACTGGCACTCTTTCATAAGATATGTAAGAACCTGTCGCATTCCAGTCGGTTCTGTCTAAGATTATTTTCAGACGAATGCAATTAGGCCAACTGTTTACCACGTTAACTAATATGTCAGTTAAAATCGATAACGTAACCGTCGCGGGCAAGATCTGCTCGACAACAACTGAGCAGTATGATTTTATATTACGTTAACATAGAAAGAGAAACGCCGTGTCAATTATAATCCTGCTTTTATTCCATCCTCATTAGAAATAACGAACATCGTACTAATATAAATAATATGTGCAAGAACACAGAGGATCATCAAATAAGTTACATACCATACTCTTTGGATATAGTGCGAGAAGAAATCCACCGCCAGCGGAGACTTGTTTGCCTTTTTTAATTAATTCTCTGTTATCCCCATTTTTTAATAGCGAGCAGTTGCATTTAAAATATAAACGAAATAAGAGCAAAGATCTTCATTACTATTTATGGCGAAGTAAGCATAATGCTTGAACGCCTTCTGAGCACCGTTTTATCTAACGTTTGTGTTTCTACCGCGATTCATGATTCGAACAGTAAACTACTCGGAGTTTCTGTATTATTTAAAGCTCGGTAGGTTTCTTCACGTTGGTGATAGTTCTTCGCTCATACCCGGCGCGTTGCAGCTGCGCCTTCGACGTCTCTGTAAAGGTAAGGCGTACCGAGGCTAGCGTTGTTCCTTGTCCTTCTCCACATCGGCTAAAGCGTTTCCGGGCTCACCGACTTCCTTTGTTGATTGGCACACCATTCTATAGTCAGCCCCTTCTGCAGAAATCTTTTCTTGCAGTACTTCGGCATGATGACGGAGTCCATCCCTAAAAAAAGTTGGGAATTCATATTTTGAGATAAACCTTGAAATGCTCTTGTTTTTATTCTCTTTTACAGCACGGCATCGAAGTTTAACTCTGTCACATTTAATCGTATACTTTTTGCATGTTATAGTTTTATTTTTTAGATTTTTCTCTTTACTGTCAGTACAAAAAAATGTTTTTCCTGGCATAAATTTCACAGAATGGAACTAAAGCACGTCAACAATCAACATTGGAATTGCTTTCGTCATACTTTCATCATAACTTTTAATCAATTCTAGGTCACTTACACTGCAAGTGGTATATTTATCCGTAGTAGCTTAAGTAGAACATATTTGCGGTAACACACATACAGGGACCAATCATTTGTAGCTAGGGGTAAATTCACTCATCATAATAATGAATTTGATGATTTTTAATGAACGAAGCGCCATCTTCGTTAGATGAGCTAATATTTTTCGCTGTAGCTGGTTTTTGATGATAATTAGAGATCTTACTATTTGGGAGTTATTTACCTTGCGGTCTCGAGATTCTTGCGCGTGCGTTGCCAGAGTTTTTCTCCTCGATCAATGCGTCCTTGAAGGTAATCGACATTTTCCAGGGTAGCCTTTCGTTCAATGCAGTGATTCTTTACGGTGATCTCACTCGATGGGCCTGAAGGCGTCGAGAGTGCTGCGTTTGCAAAAACGGCCAATATGTTAAGCACTAAAAGTAATGAAAACGCCTGAGAGGTGATGCGCTCCATGATATCTTCTGTTTGAAAATCCGTTTGACGGATGCAACCGGTCTGGCCCCTGGCCCGACTGCCTGCTATATTTATATCTAAGCTGCCGGTGCAGCTGCTGGCAGATCATTGCGCAGTGGGTGAGCGGAAAAGCTGGAAACTTATCTTGAGTGAGTCGCCTTGTTATAATCAAAGAAAGGTAACACTTCATAGTAGAACGCTTCAATGGTCACGAGTGTGAGAAAAATGTTTGGACCCCGCTTATCAGAGCCGCAGAACATCGGTGCCTTCCCAGGGCCGCCTGTGTGGACAAGCGACCGGAGCGGCGCTGACAACGGCCCGGAGAGAGAGGTAGGAAAGGGAGGAGGAGGAAAAAAGAAAAGTAGAAGAACGGACAAAAGCATGCTCAGAAGAAAATCCTTTCTTGGATAAGCTGACTGGCTCAGGACGTGAGGGGATCCTGCAGTCGCGTAGACTGGAAACCGCAGCAAAAGCCACTGTCCAAATAAAGTCGAAGCTGAAAGTAGAGAGAGTCGGTCAGGTAGGATTCGTTTATACGGCCCCCGGTGGCTTAAAGCCGATGGCTGGCATCGAAAGGAAGCAAGCGGTCACGCCACAGACATGCTCTGCCTTACTGCGGTGCACCTGGAAGTTCCGCGAGAAGCGGTTGTCGAATAATAGCTGAAATCTGCCGGCACATGATGAATATTGGCACGGACTTACACATACATACTTCTGGACAACAGAACTGTAACAAAGCCATATGTGTGATTTTGCGAATTCGCGGCGGATGGGCCGAAGAATGTAACAGTTTCCCATTCAACGACGCAGCAAAACCCGGCGCGTACTTCGTTTTGATTAACGGGCGAATATCATTAAATATTTGAAGAAGGCCTTCTAACTAAGACGAAAGTGTTTATGATAATGTTTAACGAACATTTGTTTCCAATAAGAGCGCTTTATTTTCTATATTTTTTCGATGGTAGGAGCCTTGTGATACCCGCAAGGGTACTTGCTGGACTTAACGTTGCGATTTGTCTCTGCGCAGATGTGGCCTGTTTAAAATCTCAAAAAACCATGAATTTTTTTTTATTTATGTTCGCTTACACACAAGAAGATGAGTTCGTCGTTCGCTATCTCTGATGCTGTGTTAATAGCATAACCTACAGCTTCTTATTTCAATAACTTTCTGAAAATTATTCAAGGAATAGGTTACTGGCAAACATGGCTACATTCGTTTCGAAACGATATATGAGTGGCTGCGGTTAGCGAGAACAAAACAAAATAATAAGTAATAGTATGATGCGTTTTTTTGGTGATACACAATAGACAGTAGTCACATAATCATTGCGTCACCAATATAAGAGGACGTCCACAGTTATTGGGCAAATTATAATTTGTACAATGTTGCTGTTTTACGTACGTAAATGTTGCTATATTGCGTTGCATGTATCTATAACAATAATAAGTGCACGATAGCTTTAGAGGCGTAATAACTTTCCAGATAAGAAGCAGAAGGTGGACATGTACCTGTGTCGTTTGAGCGCAGTCTGCAACGCTTCAGGCACCATAGTCGATCTTATATTCTGCAAAGCGTTGCCATTTGTATTTATTTGATGTCACCACTAGCGGAAACGCAATCGAATATTCTCATACGAACAGCAGCGCATTATCCGTGTACTGGGATGAAGATGACAAGGATAGAAACCACGCTTAGATTTCCTACGTATTGCAAGTGAAAATTCTTGCGAAACTCATTCAGTGATCTTTAGGTGTCTAGGCAAGAAACAGAAGAAAAGGAAGTAGGCCGCACATAAGAACAACAAATAAGCTTAGAGATCATCAGTACTTTGAATGAATTTAAATATAAAAATTAGATGTCTTGAAAACGAAATATCTGTATGCCATATAAGGTACTATTATTGAGTGATGCGGTCGTCGAAGTCTAAACCCAGTCACGACTCACGAACCTATACTAAACTCCCGTATCAGAAGGTTAATTTTTAAGGAAATATTTGCTGTGCTGCCTCCCTAAGCAAAAGAAAAATTGATACAATCAGGTACATAATGCCATTTTCGTACGCGATCGATCATGTTGTAAACTTGCAGTTTTTTGGCAAGATCAACCGACGCGCTATAGGGTTCGAAGGGACCTGCAGAAAAATTGCGATACACATTTAAGAGACATTTGACGACCTCTTTTATGTCGTCGTTAACAAAAAGCTGAAGATCGGGGAGAAGCCAAACTGGAGCACTGGGTCATATCTGCTGACGATAGATATGCTGGAAAGAGCTTCCACAAAGTGTCTAGTTTCACGAAGAAGTTACGATCAGATATATAGCTCTCGATCCATTTTGTAGAGCATCTGTCAATTTCTACGTCTGTGTGCTTTCCTAGCAGTAAGACGTAGTTAATTGCGCGATTACCCAACTATGAAATCGGCACTCTCAGTGTTGAGAGACTGCCATCAAATAGGGTAATTACATCTTAGATGGCGTATGTTTGTTTGCCAACCAATATTTACTCTCCAAAACATATTCCGTATATAACACCGATGGATTTAATATGTGTGTGTTATAATCTGAGGTGGAATGTTGTTCAGGTTCATTTGCAAAGTAAGGCTTTTAGCCATGCAACTTGGTTGTCATTATGTAAAGTTCAAAAACTGAGTGGCAATAACCAGCTCTATTTTTCCCACTTTAGATTATTATTATTATCACCTGTTTGTGTCCTATTTTTTAATGGGCCATTTAGGAGCTCTGGATGGATTCGAACAAATGTAAGAATTTTTTGACATATAATATTGATTTTAGTAGAGTTCAACTGTTGAGTCATTTGATATATTCCTTCTCAATATTAGCCCAAAAAATTGCCGTCTTGCGCTCCTCTGGACAGAAATCGCAGGCAGCACATGTGTGCACAAACTACACACACAAAGATGACCTAGCGGACAAGAGGCATGTGAAAAAATGGATCTTGTCGTTCTGTCCGCCAATAAAAACTGAGAAGATGGTTATTCGGTATCCCTCTCGTAGCATCTAGTCGCTCGTTCATTTCCCCCGCTCGTTAAATTTGCTACAAAAAGAAAAAAAAAGCTAAAGAGGACAACATCTGAGAACCCCTAAAACGAGATTTCTAAAAGGAAATTTTTCTTTCTCTCTTCCCATGATACGTCATTCATATCCCTACTAGCTCAATATCATTACAGCTCCTTGCGCTTGGCGCTATTTCCCTATTTCGATAGGGGTCCGTCGTCTCCATGCAGCTGCCTTAACACAAAACCGCAATGCAACATCACAAACGAACGCCATTCAATGGATAAAAATGGAGTCGCGAACATCTTGGATGTTACAGTGGAGTAAAGAAAGATCCGCATGGCTGGCGTTGTTCCAGGTGTTTGACAGCGGCAGAGCTTCGTTGAAAAGGCACTCACGCTTATACTTATATTTGCAAGCAATTTTTTGGGTTCTACGTATTATTTCCCTACGGATCATCCTGTTATGGCCGTTGCTATAACATGTAAAGTAGTCCCTTTCCAATTTCTCTCCTTCATTTTGTTTTAAAAGGAAGCACAGCCACATTGAAGCGAATAGATAGAGAGGTTGAAAAAAAAACAATAAGTGTTTTATTATTTTTTGTGCATTGGATAAGTGTTGCTGCTTTTTTGCTTGAGTCGAACATGCTGTTTATTGATTAAAGAATGCTAATCGGTCTTTATCAATCGCTAACGTTGCTCTTGAATGATGTACTTCAATGTAAACCAGGATATATATGGGCTTGAATGTGGAATGAAACACTTGAGGTGTTGTTAGCCAACAACTGAAAGGAGCGCAGAAATAACAAAGCAACAAAAGTAGGAACGGTACAACTAACGCGTGATGTTATAAGAGGAGAACTGTGTAATTGCGTGCATTATTACCATAATTTTCGTACAATATATTGTACAGTTATAGACGTGGCTTTCGTTACGGCATTACGTGATTACGTTGTATCACGGAGGTGATCCCATTCCGTTCCAAGAAAAAAGCATATTATAACAACTTTTGAAACGATGCCCGTACGTGTGTAGATGTATACCTTGTTTGCCCACTGCAAAATCTAGGGTTAGCAGATTGATTGTACCCAGTTGTCTTAGGTGCATAAAATATATTCACTGTAGTTAACTATACCGCCTTAGAGAAAGAAGTCCCCATAGAAATACGCTAACTATATGGAAAAGAGTTTATCATGATAAGGCAGTAACTGGAGTGCGTGCTGTTGCCCGTGAACGAAGACTAGGAACGTATGATGCTAACCGCTATTAAAATACTACGACACACTATAAATTAAAATTCTGCATTACAAATTTGCCATTATTTTGTTTCTTTCGACTCAAAAATTATTTAATTCTCAAAATAGATTTCAGATGACTAGTAAAGCCGGTACCAATCAATTTATGCGAGCAAATAAATTTCGATATAAAACTCTCAGAATGAATCCGTCGCGTTCTTCATCAGTAATGGTTCTGTGATTCATGGTCTGTGGTAATCAACATGGCAGGAGAAAGAGCAAACTCAATACCTAATCAAAACCTGATTATGACAATTAAAACGGATTTAGGAGATAGTATACACAAGAAGTTGCGTAAATACTATAAAGCCAAAAGCATCAGAAAGTTTCATGGGCTAAAGCTACTGATATCCGTATAAAGGAGCATTTAGTGATCGGACCAGCTTAAATGTTTGATATTAGTTTATGGAAAAGGCACACTATTCGATGATACTCTATAACATAATCGCAAGAAAAGTAAGTATCCAAGAAATAAAGAACATCTTAAGGATCTACACGCGACAATAGAGGCGCCACTGAATCTGTTACAACGAAACATGAAGGAACGATTGTTGCTATAGAGCCCACGGCCGTTAATAGACGGGCGGAGTGGACCACAGCTTGAAGACGAGAATAAAATCAAGAGATCCCGAAGCGCAGTAAGTTCGCAAAGCATCTATGGCTTCAAACTTTGTGATCTGCTGGGAACGAAGGAAATAATATGCGACCGATCCATTTTTATTTTAGCAGGGCCTTGTAAATTGTATTAAGTTAATGACACGTATGTTATATCTCTTCGAGAGCTGACACGCCCGAGAAATGATTGTTCTGTGCAGACTCGAGCCTGAATCTGGGAGCCAGTGACTATATAGACTATCGATGACCCTCGTGTTTGATGCTGAAGGGTGACGTAATAGGTTAAGCACTACAGCCCGCCTCAGCGGTGCGTATCATCAATAGATCGCATTATTTTTATTGAACTCAAACATTTACGGTATATAAATGGAATACACACACAATTTTTTGATGTTATACCATACAAATAAATAGTGTATCCTTTTATTTCAGTTGCTCTTAACAATATACAGACTGACTTTGTACAATTATCTACATTCACGTATATATGCCACTTATGACATTGTCGTTGTAGTGCTTTTGTGTTACTATGGTTGCTGTTGCTGTTAGTCAATATGGTTGTTACAATTATCAGATCTTTTTGTCGCCTGACTTTTACAATGGTACCTGCATGTTCCACGCTTGTTGTCATTTGTCTGTGATCACTTATCTATTCGCAAATTCGTATCCCTCCCAAGGTTTACCTTCATGATGTCTGCGATCATCAAACTCTCTTCCCGCCGTAGAAAGGAAGAAACTATCGATGAGCCCCAGCGCTTCAGCTAGCGATGTCAGTTTCATGTGACAGCCGCACTCAGCCATCATTCCGGTCTTCGACTGTGTTTCTAATGGTATTCCTCTTTTGCTCTTTTAATCTTATTAACGGTAGTCAGGGTTTTGTGGCTATCTTTGCCTGCTGGCCGATTTATTAATTTTTTTTTGATGATGCTATCTACATGTGTCATGGATGAGCCACTCGAGTGCGCCTCAAAGCGTCACGAGTTGTCCACTTCTCGGTATCTATCAATCGTGGTGATAGCATTGTTGTTGGCTTTACTACTTAACACGAAATGTCACTCAACTATCGATTGACCGGAGGTAATGGCGTGCTGTCTTCGCTGAGTACGTCGCGTTCTCGTCTCGGGACAGATATGTACGAGAGTTTTTTTTGAAAGATGCGCCAGTGTGTTCAATGCATTCAACTATCCAACCGACAATATCTACCAGGAAAAGATCTTCCGTTTGCGTTTCAACTTGTAACGATCTGCCGTTGAAAAACAAAGCACTGGCTTGATTTGCGATGCACGTCGTTTGGGGTAGTCATAAGCCTTTCACTCTGTTTTCTACGCCAAACTACAAATTGAGACAGGCAGGACCTCACACCTCTTCCACTGCAATTCGATCCTAAAAGAACGTCTTCTCTAAATACTTATAAATTATTAAACAATTTGTAAGAAATTGCTAGACGCAAATTACTAAAGGGAAACGTTATACAAAATGAAGTACAAAACGAGAACAAATTAACTTATGAACATAATAAATGCAATTGTCGACTACAGTTTAACGGCATTTTTTACAGTCTGTGTCGCTAGACCAGATTTAAGGCTTAAAATGTCTCGTTGTCGTGTTCATCTTCGATTCGAAGGACCAGTTGTGCCTAACAACGGCGCATCCTCCTAGACAAAATATAAAAATCCAGTCTTGCACATTATCCAGATTACCCTTGAGAGGAAATCGGAATGACCGCCATCGTTAAAATGCTTATGAAGACAAACCGAACTAATTGATTTCAGTCGATCGGATAAGCAATAAATTAAGACAGACAACAATTATTTAGAGTACCAAACATGGCTCTTTCAGACGTTTTTTTTTTTTAACATGATGTATACAGGCAGCACCAATTTGGGCAGTAGCGATCCGAAACTACTGCAGCACATCCAGGTCCTAGCGAATATATTCTCGCAACACCTGTGGTAATTGGCGGCATGTACGAAAATTAGTTTTATAATTGTATGTGTGCTTATTAATTTTCATAGGAGATGAGCAATGCGCTTCGACTAAAACAAGTTTGCGTATTCTGCTATATACATCCTTTTTTTTCGTTTAGAATTTTAGAAGACCAATCCCCGAATAGTGGTCAAGGCTTTCGCTGCAGCTCTTCGGGTCGATCCGACATTGATGGTAACATTTAACGAGTTGCCCCGGTTATCATTGCAATATTCGGATATAAAATATATTGCATACCTATGTTCTTTTGGGACAATTGAAGGCATTCAGAGAAATTATTTGGTGTCAACGTACACTAACTTACCAAATCAACTAATGAGTTCGCGAACATTGAGAGCACGCATGAGATGTGCGTACGTATATAAGTCAGACACAAACATTTACCAATAAAAAATAATCCTACAAGAAACCCTTCAGCGGCGATCGACTGAGGTCGCATTACATTTCGCACTCACGTAATCTAGTCAATCTTAATTCAGAAGCCTCACCGCCTTAAGCTTGAACGTGTTTACAGCGCCTTTTTGGTAAAATCAAAATAAACGGTTAGAGAGAGCGGAGCATTTGAATTTGGTATCAAATGTTTACCGAAGGGAAACCTATCGTCTCGTTGCAGACTAGGAGGATAGGGTAAGGACTGCAGGAAAAATCGAATATATACAGTACAGTATACAACACATGCGTAAGCATCACTGAACTTCAACGCGAGATCCAAACGATGAATAGGTATTGCACCAGATTCATCAGTTTGGAGGACGTGCACGCATCACTGAATTGGTAATGGGCTGTGCTGATGTGCTGCTTTCCCCTATGTACGATGTGTATATATCTTCATATATAGCAACACTATTATAATTATTCAGATCTTATAACTTGTAAATATGTTCTCGTTCTTTTACGCGGGTTACATGTTGTCACATCTGCGATACAGCATGGTAAATTTTGTCCTCTTAAAAGTCACTACACTCATACTGATTAGCATAAGGAACTACGCACACATAGACTCGGCGACATTCACACAGATTCTGAATATACATATATACTCGACGCGATCAGACGCATCAGTTAGATAGGATCCACACACATTGGTTCGCAAGTACAAGTAGACATATACATGTATAGTATTAGCATAGCGATCCGTAGTGGGTCCGTTCCGCTGGATCTGTCTACACATTAGGCTAGAGATAGGCCTTTACGTACCTAGATGTAGATGGTGCGTGGAGGGACTTTATACACACGCATGTGTTTAAGACCTCGAATAAAATTAGCATCACCAGTGATATTTGTGAGTACCGTTCTCACCACTTCCGACCGACAAACTTTTCCACATGAACGATAATTGCATACAGTTATACACATCCCGGACCTATTCAATCAGCCCTTACATTGTTATGTGTGCACTCCTGTTTCATATCTTGTCCTGCTCTTTTTATGGGGCTCGTAACGGTTTCCGAGCAGTACGCTGCAGTCTTGTAGTCTCATAGTGATGGTTAGCAACGGTTCTGTAAACGCCATAGTCAGATTCGTTAATTTATTTCTGTTACCGCCATCACACAGCAAGGGCTGATTCGATGCTACATTTGATCACTTCTTACTCTCTCCTTCCTCAGTCAGTGGTTGTTAAATCACGAGCAGAAGCACTCATGAGCATCTCAACCGTGAAATCCTTAGCACATTTTCGCTGTTGATAATTTGCGTCTCTCTGATAGTCTGCTTATCAGAGGGATGTCAAGGGTTTATTCTTTGTTTTGCCTTATATATTTTGAAGCACACAGAGCACCACATAGCCATCTACGAACATCATACATACACCATACATGGCAATCACCGTATATGTGGTACGGACAACTAGCTGGTATTCTTAATTCCTAGACTTAATATGAAGTCTGCGAATCGCTGCCAACCTAACGGTGATCATTTCATTGAATAAAACCGCGCAGTGTCTCTCATTCCGTTTGCTGTTTTATCCTCATTCGCCTTTTTATCGAACCCTGTACTGTATGTAATACCCTCTTCAGTCATACCTAGGACGATCAAGCTTACCATATATGTTCTCCCTTCATGAATAATACAAACTTCAATATAAATAATAATAGTAGTAAAATATCACATGAAGCACTGCTGACAGCAACAACAAAGGCAACAAGAAGATTGGCAGTGATGATGATGATGAAGTTCACTCTTCCCCCACGAGATGATAACACACGAGAGGAAGACGTCAAAGAAAAGGACGAGGAACGGGGCAGCGCAAATTTTTTAGCGTTACTGCTGCGCACTTGTTGCTGTGTTTGCTGCGACTGCTGATGAATGGTAGTTCACCAAAATCGTCCGGATCGAGCGAAATGTCCGTTCTTAGTCAATATCCACCGCCAGTGATATCAAATGAGCATTATCGCAGCGAGTTGACTCACGTTGACTGCATCTATTGCACGTAGATGAGTCAACGTTGCGAAAATTAGACGCAACTCCAATGGACCTGGATCAATAATGTGCCGAATGCCGCGGTTACCGCGTCATTGTTGGTCGTCTCCGCCCCTCTGAACATGTTTGTCTAGCTTTTTGTTGATCCGTAGTTTCTTCTTCTAACTTATGCATAGTGCATACCGGAACAAAACCTGCCTGTTGTTTCGTATGCCTATAGCTGTTTCTCGGGACGCGTCTTTAAACTGCGCGCTTAACGATGATGGTGGTGATTTACATCAGATCCTAGCTACCGAGGCTTCCCGTTGTTCAAAGCGCGAAGTGCTTGGGGGGGGGGGGGGGGGGAGGGATAGCAGCGGGAGTTAGCAAGCCGTTGTACGATTATTGTTGCCATGGAGTGGGATGTAGGCGCGACCATTTGCTGTTGTTGGAAGTGTTCCGTTCTGGTTCGTAGTAAGGACTTTTCCACCGACAGCTTTAACAGCTGGTACGCTGCTTGCTGCAGTGCTACCGTTGCCATCTGAAGGCGCAAACGACTGCACAATCGGTGTCAGACCAGCGAGCGACGTGAATCCGCTACTTTGCGCCGGTCGCGGCGCTGGTGTCAACATGACAACAGGCGGACCATCTCCGATCGCTTCCCGTTCGCTTAGTAATGGAACGATTGTCGGACTCTTTTCGCTGCCATAGTCGCTGTTGTTGTGCTTTGTTAACGACGACATCGGAGTGTTTTTGTGCCTCGGATGTCTCTCACTGCTATCCGAGTTCTCGCCACCGCTCTCTTCGCCCTCACCGTCTGAGATAACGTCGTCCGAAATGTAAAGATTGCTCTCTTCATCAAGATCGGCTATGTCGTGTCCGGCGGCGTCCGGCCCTCTGGGAGATTTGTGATCGCGGATAGAAGCGAGTCCTCCGCCATTTTTGTGTGACTGTGCCACAACGAGGGGCGTGCCTTCTCCTGACGTGCCTTGCCGATCCTCGAGATTTTCTTCGGGGCGCATCGTTCCTCGAAACGTTGTTGTGTAGTATGAAACCTCTTGGAATCTATCGTGCGTCTCATCCAACAGCATGGAGACAATATCGGTGAACTTTGGTCGCGTTTTCGGCATGTACTGCCAACATAGCTTCATGATTTTATACAACTTATCCGGACAGTTATCTGGTCGTTCCATAATGTGGCGCGAAATGACCCACTTGAGCACCTGCTCATTACTCAGGCCTTGATAAGGCATGGTGGCCAGGGTGACCATCTCCCAAAGAACAACACCATAACTCCACACGTCGCCTTGTGTTGTGAATATGCCATCTTTGAGAGATTCGGGGCTCATCCAGCGGACCGGCAGCAGGCCTTTTCCCCCTTTGCGGTAGTAGTCTGTCTCATAGATATCGCGGGTCATGCCGAAGTCACCTATTTTAACGGTGAGGTCAGTTGCTACCATACAATTTCGAGCTGCCAAGTCCCGATGAACGTATTTAAGCGACGCAAGATATGCCATGCCGTCTGCAATTTCGGCAGCCATCTGAACTACTTGGCGGTACGTAGGGGGATCGCCTTTCGGGGCCTCTCCCTGGTCAGGCCTGTGGGAGCGCAAATAACTCTTCAGATCGCCATTTGACATTAGTTCCATAATGACGTACACCGGCTGGCCCTTACTAACTACACCTAGTAATTTGACAACGTGGTACGAATTGAAGCGTTTCATTGTTGACGCTTCTTGTAGAAACTCGTTTCTCTCATGTATCTGGGCGCCTTCGTTGACTGTCTTGACTGCGCAATCCGTTTCTGGAACGCCGTTTAATTCGTATACAATTCCCTGGTACACCATTCCAAATGAGCCTTGACCCAGCTCATTGAGTAGCTGAATCTTGTCTCGTTGAACCTCCCACTCATCAGGCTCGTACGACGTACTCAGATATTCTGGATTCATCGAAGCGTATAGCACGCCATCAGGAATACCTCGGTTCAGCCTTGAAGATAAACATTCAAAAAAAATGCGCAAAATATTGTAAATATTAATGGCTGTTCTCAGGAGCAGTAGAAGCTATCCAGGCTAGGTTTGAGTAAAATAGCAAAGAAAATCAAGAAACTTAGTAACATGACTACTATTTGCCCGCTCGATTAAATTAGCCAGTAGTTGATACTACGTTTGTTTCCTGCATTTAAAGTTAGTGGAACTCTGCTTGCAAAAGTGTATCTGTTGAAACAAGTTTTCAGGAAAAAAAATGATCTAAAAAGCTCTGCTAGATGTGAGTTGACCAAACATAACAAACGTGAAAGTTTGATTCAAAAAAGGATCTATTGTGTTAAGTTGTTTTCATCATTCTAATAAAACGAGTGTCTTAAGAAAGTTTTAACGCCATTAGTTCTTCATTGATGCCACCATCAAAACGAGATGTTAGGGATTGTTAAACGATCTAGTAGGCGTTTTGAAACATGAACAGACTAATACATCGACTCACCATCAACCTTCAAACAACTGTAAAAATTAAATCATATTAAGAATTAACTTTCAAAGAATACTATTTTTTTAAAGCCACTCGGTTTAATTCAATTGTTTACAGAAAGGATGACCTGAGCATCCAAAATACGAAAGGCTAACCTCAAAAATTTAGTAGAAAGTGCGGATCTCTTGTTATGATGACGTAATGGTTAGCTAACTAATGCCAACATTCGTAATAGCTTGGTGGGTAGCGTATTTGTCTGCTAACTTTAGCGGCACATTGCAGTCTAGGCTCGAATCCGAACATAGACACACTTCGTTTCGTGATGGGAACCAGCCATCTGTCTGATAAATTGCCTAACAGTGACACCGGACGTAAGACTCGAAACACTCGAAAAAAAGTTAGCAGCGTGTTTGAATGAATATTAGCAAATAGATAACCACTTACTTCCTCTTTGCATAGTGGTAAACCCCGAATGAGGCTACCCCAAATATGACAAGAAAGATGATCGCGATCGAGACAAACAGCGTCACGTATCGCTGGCCCTCAGATGTATCGCGTACGTAGAAACTTTCGTACCGGGTCCAATTGCCAGCTCCACTCAAACTCGTGGCACGCACCCGGAACGAGTAGTTGCCGGCTCCTAAACTGTCCAGTACACGACCGTGCACTTGTTGGTATTCCTTATGGTTGATACAAATCTGAATGGCCTTAGCCTGAAAGGATCAATGAAGTTGGGTTTCTTTTTATTCCTTGCTGACGTTACTGATTTCCTAGGTTATATAAGGACAAACATAACAAACAAGAATCATGAACCATTCAATACACCTGCAATTTTTAGACTATATCATTTATGTAGCCTAACTGCGGTGTTTATGTCAGCGTCATTGTCCTAGCGATAATAACGATGAACTACAAGAAGTTTCGATTCCCAAAAATAAGGAGAAAGTAGCGAAAAAGAGTTGATCAGACTTAATAATTAAGATAACTAGTCAATTAATATATCTCTCTTCCATTTGTTTAACCTCGTATGCTAAAAATGCTGGCACCAAATAGTGCAAACTTACTCCATCAACGTCTCTTATGTACTCTAGTGTATAGCTGACAATGAAAGCGTTTGGACGTGGTGGAGGATCCCAGGTCACAAAGACATTGCCTTCACCGAGGTTTCCCGCACTGGCTGCGTGTTCTCCTTCCAAGGTAACATTCCCGCCACTCGCCGGAACTCCTCGCTGTTCAACGCGAAGTGTGGAAATGTCGACATCGTCCGCTCCGCGCAGCTTAAGGGTACGTTGGACAACTCGTTGAGGTTTGGAACAGCACGTCTTTACGAGTTTGCCGTCAATGTTTACTTCAGTCTCAAAATGGCAAGATTCATCGCTTGACATTTCACTTTGGTAATGACAAGCGGCTACCTACAAACAAATAAGGCCGGCAGAAAGAATTACAAAGTGGCATGGTTGATAATAGCGTCGAAAGTAGTTTTGGTTAATGGCTTACATTTGATTTTACGAATCTTTCCAGTGGAGACATCGATGATCGACAAGGAAGTTCCTCAAATGGTCAATACCCATAACACACTTTCTTGGAAAGAACGATAGAAGTTAATATCGGGAACTTCTCGTTAAAGCCGACGCTGAACTGACTAACCGACTGTCGACGTTTCTCATTCATTACCGCGTTGTACAACGATGCAGTAGTTCGTGTTTTCTGTATACGAAAAAAGTTCGTGTGTATGTAAACTAATCAACGTTAGGTCAAAACGAAACTACTGGAAATGGTTTCAGGACAATAAAAACCTAGCGTAAACTTAACTGTGTAAATTAGGACAAACGTTATCGGCCTGCTTCTCATAGTTGTTTTTCATTCACATGTTATATTTGGTATTGGAAGAAACTTGTTTTTTTCCTAGAATAACACTATAAATATGTCACGACGGAATGCAATGCGTTCTTTTGTAGTTTGGTCCATTTTCGGCTGTCGGTTTTCTGCAGCCTCCAAAGAAATCTGAAGAATGAATATTACTGTGGAGCGAAGTCAATTGGGTATAGATTTGGGAGATTCGAAATTCACCATAATGGCGTAAAAGGCCTTGATTTTTGTCAGAAATCAGCGGGAAAGAGCACCTATCATTAAGTTAATAGTTTTTGTTTTCGCACTTTTATACCTTTCGACTGTCCTGAATCCCTATCTTTGGCAACTTTGGTCTGGTATCATTTTAACGCTTAACCAACAAGTCTTTAACGAGTCTGCGCTTACCAAAATCGTTTTACAAATGATTACTTTTGGAGAGTATTTATTATTTACTGTTATTTGCGTATTAAAAAAAGGAAAGCTTTGAAAACCACTAGTGAGTGGTCGTAGGTCGCGAATCAAGTAGAGCGGAGATTGGAGCAAATAAAAATGACCGCCAAAAACTTCATTTACAGCACGTGCACGCGGGACTGTGTCGAAATAGTGGGTCTATGTAGATTACTTTTTTATGCGAACAAAATGCGACTCACTGATATGACAGTAACTAGGTCATTGAAAAATCTGCTTCAAACTGCGTAGCCATACCTCATGCGAACGTGATTCGAATCATGATCTTCACCCTGCCCCACGTGACGGCAAATGACTGTAAAGCATGGGCTTCTCTAGCTATAATCACAGCCCTTTCTAGAATAAGAAACTCCCCCTTAGTTTTGTTAAATAACACACAGAATCATTCATGGCTCACGTACGGCTTCAACTATGACCCATATAACTCCACCTTGTAGGGCAGTATGGACCTTCAATCGATATTTTTCGATGATCAATCGATAAATTAATTCGGGCCATGTACAAAAGAGCCTTTAACAAATTATTTCCTTTCTTGAGCTGCTGATTGTTTTCCGTGATAGCGTTACGCAAACTTACATGCCTCCATAGACCCATCCTTACCTCTCCGTTTTTGCTTAAATAAAAATTCTAGATTTAACCTAGCATGAAAACTTCAAAATTTAGTCGGCTGATCTTGTAATACAAGGCCAGAGTTCGAGTTATGCATTAGAAACCTATAACCAAACCCTAGAAGCAGACTATTCAAAAATTACCCACTTTCAAACCATAGATGTAACATTAGTTGCAATGAAGCATATCGCGTTTGTCTTTAGAGATTGTTACTCCAACAGTAAATCTTGTTTGTCACGCAAAACTGCACTCTATGGGCTCAATGATTTGACTAACCTCGATGATGTAATTTGTGAAGTGCCTTAGATTAGAAACCGAAGTTCGATCGCCCCTAATCCAGCGACAGAAGCTAGAAGCATCCTCTATATTGCTTGAGCAATTTTTGTAGTGGTCAGGGATGTTGCCCCAGTTTTCCTCAATCGCAGTTAGTGAGTTTTGTGAGACTTTCGTCGATGTCGCGGTCGTCGTCTGATCATCTAGGTCGTTGGGTTCTTTACTCGCGTTCTCCGGAACGCTCCGCTTATGACGTCCAGATTTCTTTTTCCCTCTTTTACGGAAAATAAGATCGTGCAGCTCATCCTCAAACTCCATGGCTTCTTGTTTTTCTTGGCGGCTCAGCGTTTTTCGCAGTCGCGCATCACACTTACATTTACTGCAGTCAAGAACCCCAAGGGTGGCGTTCGACTTCTCTGTTTTGGGTGCAGTCGTGGGGTGAGGGGAATAGACTAAATCGACAATGAACAAGATAGTATTAATGATAAAGTAGCAAATGGACAGTAGTTCTGTTTTCTGGTTTGCTGCGGAAAAAAGAGTACGTCTTTGTATAGTACCATGAATTGTTCGGAACGTTTATCCAAATGGGTCCATGCCATTCTATTCTATCAATTGACTAATCGATCTACATATTATCAAATCCACTCTTCATTATGGGGAAAAAAAAACTGAAACTTTCTCACCCATTACCTGTTTACAGAACATCAGCCATACATGCATGCATCCATCCATCCATTTCGACAATTCGTCGCTCACTGAAGTATGTGAGCGATGCAATCGTAACTAATTGATATTTGCTTTTTTGCTACTATTATCCTCTTGTTTATGCCATTTTGTTGTCGTCACGGGACGAAACAACTCTTATAATCGGCGTTACTATAACTAACGCTGTGTCATTCTGTCGTTGCTTTGTGTTCGCCTGTTTAGTGTTAAAAAAAAAACAAAGCAGAGTGAAGAGCTGTACAAAGCAGGCATTTGTCTTTCTGAACTATTGAGTCACGTCGTGCTGATAGGAGTGAGGGGGATTAAGTTGGCTTGAACCTCAAAGCTAGTTAGTTATGCACCAAGTTGTCTGAACTAACCGCTCTGTAGGATTCAATTTTATTATTATTGAAAATAGATAAGCTATTATTTTGCCTTACGTCTATGGAAACCTACCGTGGTCTGTGCAGAAATCTCGGCGTGTCATATAGGCATCGATATCTTGCTGGACCAATCCAACGACGAGGTACCACTCGACCTTTCCGGTTGGTTTATCAGGGGGGTCCCATCGAATGTCCATGTCATGAGGAGTAGTTGAATCTACGTAAATCTTTCGCGGCAGATTGGGTGGTCCCATCTTCGTTCGGAAATACTGAATCTTGGACTGCGCGGCTTTGCTTGATTCAATGAGCATCTCAGTCTTCACATAAACAGCATAACGCGAAAAGGGCTCAAGATCATTCAATTCAATCTCTTCTTTGCCGGCCGATTCCGACCGCATTGCGTCGAGGTCCTTATAGGCAGTCGACCAATCATCTGAGCCGCAGGCATCACGACCATCAAATACCGTCACATTTACGTCTTCGGCACTGAAAGACAAATCGGAACACGATGTGCCATTCACAAAGAAACGGTAACGAGAAAAAAACAGCAGGAACTAAATTGAGTGTGAATGTAGTAAATATGTGATGCGTTTATTTATGAATTTACCGATGACTACTACCTTCCTGTCAGTCGGAAAGCTAAGTGAGTAACAGCAAAGAAATCGTGACGGTACAGAAAGAACGATGTGCGCTAACTATCTACACAGAAAGCGAGAACTTACACTCTCGCGTAGAACACCGTGTACGTATGCAGGTGCCTATGGTCTTCGAACACGTTTTCAATGTGCGTATCCCATTCAACGGAACACTTCTTCGCACGAATTTTATGGATCCTCATCGGCAGTTCGACAACATCGCAGGGCATGCGGTCTCCGTTTGTTCGTTCGCTAACGTCCTGGTCCTTTAGTACAAGGGCTGAAAGGCCCGAGTTGTTCTTGAAGGTTTCGATGGTCTTATAGCAGAGTTTTTGGTTGTGATGGAAGTAGAGCTTGCCTGTTTTGATTCTGAAATTGGGCTTGGTTTTCCAATCCCAAAACTCCTGCAAGTTGGCATTGTCCTGCACAAGGACTGAATAGTTGGTGGCCGCTTGGGTACCGTTTATGAGCCGTAAATTCTTGAAAAAAGCAAGCGAAACTAGGGAAGGTGTTCGGGCCACTTTTAGGTAGCCTTGGATCTCCTCGATATTACCCAAATACTCTTCAAGAGCCGTAGACACTCCTACGCCAGAAGTGATCTCGATATTCAGCCCACTATTGATTATAGTGCAGCCTTTAAGTGACTTGGCGTCATGAATAGATTTAATCGCACGATTCATGGTGCATACATGTGGACAGGGACCTTTGCATTTTTCGCACGAGTGGGGCGCACCTTGCTTCGTTGTGTAACCAGCGGGACACTGTGGTAGGCACTCAGCTGTTGCACTGTCGTTAAATGCCTTAAAGTGTTTTACGAGCGCCGTCGTATAGTTTCTGCAGTCGGTCTCGCTTACACATCGTCGCCCATTCAACTGAGTATAGGACAAAAACAAATACTTAGATTTTCACAAAAACCTATTGCAGTATTTTTTTTTTACAAATACAGATTGCAGATAGTATAAATTCAACTATTTGCGATAGTGTATCGTATAACTGTATATAATATTGTGGCTTAAATACGCTTAATCACGCATTGCAACGTACATCTTGTCCTACCTGTTTAATTAACACTTATCAGTCGGGTGACGATAAAATCTCAAGATAAGTACAAGAGCTACGCCGTTAACTGTGAGTCATAAACCAAAAATTATAACGCCACAGTAAAATGAAAGTCAGAATCAGACAAGATTAAAATATATCTTGCCTGATGGTTATATTTAAAAGCATTTGTGCTGTAAGAAAAAGTGTTGATAATCAGTTTTTGCCTTTACAGGCCACAATTTATTCTGAAGAGTCAAACATCTTTTTTTTATTAGGTATAGTCGTTATTATCATAGGGAGTCCTTCATAAATTACGAATCATGCTAGTATCAAAAACATTACCATCTACATTTCATTGTCGCCCTAACTCACAACCGCCAAATCGTTATCACTACATTTTCGACTAAGACTTGCGGTCAACATTGTCATCCATTCCAGTCTGAATTTCATGAAGTTGGGTAGATGTACTAACTTGATTACGTGTTAAGCGCCCAACGACATGTGCGCCTACTGCTGGGTCAAAATATTACACATCAATTTCTCACGCTTATTTCGTTTAGCCTAACACTTAATGTGCGCGTCACAACAAATCGAGCAGGTCTTTGGGTCTTCAAAACAGGTTTTAGGCCCCATCGTAGAACTACACGCCAGTCCTGCTTTCATTTTTTTCTAAATTTTCTCTATCGTGGAAGGTATTTCTTTGAAGATAGTTAACGTTCACAGGGGTAAAGTGCTGAGGACCGGATCTAATGAATATATGGCAATAATAGGCTTGTGGCAACGTGCTTTCCGATGAAACATAGAGATTGTTTGTAAAATGATTAAAAATTGAATGTAAACACTTCGATTAGTTCTGGGGGCCAGCCGTCGGAGGCAATACTTAAAGGCAGCGCCGGGCATTGACTTAAATCGGACTGTGAAAACGGGAATTGAAGTAATACAGACATTAAGCTTTTTGGCAGAATGAAGCAACGTGCGAAGTGGTGCCTTATCGTGATAAAAACAAAAAATAACCCGTGCCGTTCAGGCTTACTTTGGCGGATAGCATTTCCTAAAACTCCTCGGCAATAGTTGTTAATGACGGTAAAACCCATTCAGCATATCATTTCGATCTGGCATATTTATTCGGTCGGTTTTTAAGCGTTATTTGAACAATTGTACTTTCTCCTCACCTTGTACATTCATATTTGGTCATCACTCGCATGCGTTCCGGTTCCCCTTTGACTGCGTCAAGATTCTTCTGCGACAGTAATTGACAGATCCTTACATACTATGTAATTCAGCCCTTTCGATAGAGTCTTTGCTCTAAGCATTATCGCTTCCAAATGATCTCTTGAGACCCTAAAGGTTGTCCGACATGATTCACGCGAGACGTCTCAATCTTTTGAAAGTTTCCCGGGGGTCGTTTGGCGATTCCCTGGCACTTGTATGCGTCGTGTTGAGTAATAATGTTGTACCCATTTGCCCTTGTAGCACTAGCACCAGTTGTAAACCTTAACAAAAGCATGGTACATGCTCTTTGGTATAATTTTGTTTTACAAAAAACGAGAGACGGCCAAAGGTTACTTTATGACGCTCGCGAAATCGAACGCACACGATTTAGTGTTTTGAAATTTAGGCCCTGGGTAGCACTCCGGGAGCTGAGCAGCTCCGCAAATCGGCTGCCGGATCGGCCTTTGGCTGACGGAAGTCGTGGCAGTGAATATTATATATATGAATACGCGTATATGGACGGGCTGATTAGGATCAATTGTGTTCAACAGCGCTCTTGTCCAGTGGTGAGTGAGAAAAAACCGTGTGCGGTTATTTCATCTAACAACAATCTGTCTGCTTTGCAGTAAACGATTTCCAGTTCTATAAGCTTCTCTAAGTTGAAAAGGTAAACCATGTCAAAGAAATATAGCTAATTTCAATATACATTCGAATCTCAGAACGCTGGACCCGACTCTTTAATTATATTGCAGTGTTTGTTGTGCATCTTTGCCTTTAGGAAAACGAAGAACGAATGTTGCCATAAATGAGAAGCGCTATATTCCACTGCCAAATATAACTGATAACATAGAAACGAAAAGTCGCGCTAGCTAATGATGCTCCAGCAACTATGACACTACTTACCGCATACGTGTTACTAGGACATTTGTCAACACATCGTCCTTTAAATCGATACTTCTGACAGGCATAACAGTCCTGCGTGCCATTCGGGCTCTTGCAGCCTCCAAGACATTGCTTATCACAGCACGTCTTCATATCATCTGTACAGGTTGCATTTTGACTTTGACATAGGCACACTGCAAAGAATTGAAAAAGTCCATACCGTCAGTAAAACTGGTCTGCGAATAGTAATTATATAAATATTATTATATTTTTTATATATATTTATTATTTTATATAAATAATATAAAATAATAAAAATTCTGTCGGGCAATCGTAAGATCTGTTCAATACCGATCACGTTCTACGTGCTGTAAATATGCGTATCTTCTAATCGTACTAGTTGAACGGTTTTCAATAATTTGAAACGACGCTTTGCTACCAAAAAGCCCAGAATGTGGTCTCACTACAACGATTCGTCGGTCGTAGACAATAAAGCACCATTGTAATAAATATTGTATATAATTTTATCTAGTACATGAACAGAAGGCGTTTTTACCACTTTTATAGTGTTAGGTACCGTCACGCTACCTTTTTGACAGGTTTCGTAGTTCCAGCAAAGGTAACTCTGTCCTGTTTTGTCCGGAGGACAGCTACTCTGACAGCCAGGACAGATGCTCCGATCTCGATTGTAGATGTTGTCTACTGGAGGTGCTGACGGGTCTTGCGTGATCTGAGACCAATCGATACTATCCACGTGGCACAAGCGATTATTCTTTTCAATTCGAACGCCTCCGCGCATGATGTGCGTTAAACTCCTCAAACCCAACTGTAGCAGAGGAATTGAAATAAAGCTAATGTCAAATTATCAGGCAGCAATCTATTAAGTGCTAAAAACTAAAGTTATTTGTAAAATGGCATACATTTACAAAGTATCATCTGCTCGTAGTTATTCAATCCTCCTAAGCAATAAAAAAAGAAAAAAAAAAACGCTTAATTTTAAGCATATTGTTTTGTATTATTTGCATACTCACAGTCTTTGCGCCCTGAGAGCTACCTCTCGTATTTAAGATATGAAAGCAATCGAAATCAGATGAACTTGACCAAGAACATATGGGCGGAAGCCATTGCTCAGTTCCGTCTTAAGCCCTGGTTGTGTTGAGAAGGTCGTGCGCTATTGTTGAATACACGGTATGCTGTCACTCACATAGGTGAGACCAGAAAAAGTCTACTAAAATTGACGCTTTGCTATTTAGCTAATAGCTTTTTCCAACCGGTCCATCTACGAGCATCAGCGCATCCATCCGGCATTGCCATAGGAGCTGGCTTCTCTCCTACCCGACGTCATTTCTTCTCGGGTAGGTAGGCTACTGAGCCTGATCTAGGTTTCGCCAATAACGACGACAGGCTCCAAGTCAGTTTCGTGTTGATAATCGCCGCGCAAATTATTTTTAGGATAGACCACACGTATTTCTAGTTGTGGAATCACTCCAAACGGAACCGATGTTTGCTCCTCTTTCTTATATTCAGTATTTTCATTATAGTTTCACAACACGCGCTCGGAAAGGTTTCATGTTGGGCTGACAGAAAACATTGTCCACGCTCTCTTCGCCCCTAAAGCTTCCGTGACCGCACTATCCGTTTGAGGTCTTCAACCTCCTAATTTATGCTGCAGTGGAACAATGCTGTTTCCCAGGAACTTTACCATTGGGCGCCAATTTTCCGCGCCAAATGACAACATGTTTGCTTCCGAACTCAGTATTATTTTCTGGTGTCACTCCATCACCACTATATTCGTAAATAGCAAAGGATTCGAGGTAAATATTTACCACATCCCGTCTCTTAATAGTGCTTAATTATTCAGATATAAATTTATCCATACAAGAAACAAGCCATTATTAAACCTCCTCGTCGGATTAGTTTTTCCGGAGTAGCAACTATTGTTCATGAGATTATACTACTATTACATTCAATTCAAAGTTCAGTAGTTGAATCTAAGCATGGTCTGCTTGCAGGATAATGATTGCTTGGTCTGTCAGTGCTATACAAGTAAACGTAGGGCGTTGCTTACCGTTGTCATGAGTGGGTTTTCGTAGATGACCAGCGCATATTGACCAACGAATAGATCCATTCCCCTGATAACAGCTAGATTCGGAAAAAGTCGGGTCATGTTGTTCAGATGCGAGCGAAATACTACCACGTAACCGGTTATCTCGCGGAGCTCAGGAAAGCTATAGTTTAGATTATCGGGCTCATCAGGCTTCTTCGGATTTCGGTATTGAAGTACAGCGATAACAAGATTGCCTTCGATGACACTACAATTTCGAAGCTGTTCAAAGTTCGACGGGTTGTTTCTGATTTCTACTGTTGGACATACTGCAAAATTAATCAATTGACAAAAAAAAAATTACAATTATTAGTTAGTAGATAATAGGTTCCTAATGCTATGCTAGTTAAGCATACGAATATAGGAAGTTATTTGTTATATTGTGGACGGGTCAAACCTAACTGCGTATTGAACCGGATTCAGATTATGAAAAAATACCGCTTCTGAGTTTGGACGGGCTTGGCAATGTGCCTACTATAAGCTATGTAGATAATAACGCTATAAACATCACAAATAAGCTATTATGTACACAGCAGTATAAAGTAGACTCCGGTAGACGGCCACGCTGCAGCTTCACTGTTTCCGGAATACGCTTGATCTGTATGGTAGGCTTAATGAATGAAGGCGTTCAGCAGCTTCGTAACACGGACTCACTCGCTAACGACTAAAATTTGCGATTTTAACGATTAAAATACCTCACGCTGCAAAAGTACGCTTCGGGGCTGCGCAATTTCATATATCAGACTGTACGTATTGCCGTAAGTTAGATTCATTGGTGATCACCGACAAATACTGGCTAAAATTAATGGAAAAGTGTTTGAATGAAGTGTTAACAAAAAAATGTGCTTGGCAGTAAAAAAGAATTTATTTGAAAAAAAAATCTGTCAGTATATTCAAACCCTGTTATAGAGGAAACTCTGTTAGGTCACTATCGGAAAAAAGGACCTAGTTCCTATAGGACCTAGTGAACGCAATCGCCAAAAACATTATTTGTTTATGGCAACTTTTAAATTCGAAAACTTTTTGTATAAAGGCAGATTTATATAAAGGCATTTGCCATGTGGCATATACATGAAAAAATTCACACGAAAAATAGGAAGTTTGCAAAATACGTAAAGGATAAGTAAGGACACGACAGGTAGTAGAACTAAGCGATGGTGGCGTATCGACTTTTCGATTGATTGTGATACTTTCGATAGCCCCTATCGATTTTAATGCAAAGCAATCGAAAAGCAATTTCATTTGCCCAAATATGTTGTCAAATAACACAACGAGCATCGACAAATAATATAAACAAAATTCAATATCTTGCCTGATTATTTAGTAATTATGCAGCAAACTGTTAATACCGTTTACCTTTAATTCGTACATCTACTAAGAGGCTTTCGAGCCCTAAAAGGCCCCTATGGCAAGTGCCATTTTTCATGGTAGCCCTTTATCTGCCATAGCACGATTGATTGAATTTTAAATCTGCACAGTTTACTTTCACAAAGAGCGCTAGAAGCAGGTTTAGGACACACGGGGGTGATAAGATGGGAGTGATAAAACAGCCAACCGTCGACACTATAGATGAAACAATATGCAAGACAGCGTACATTTCAGTACTGAACTATAAAAGCCTAAAATTAACCTTAACTAACTAATCAAATGTTTCAATAAACTACTAGCACATTACTATAATTAAACAACATAAATAAGGCGTAAGATTCATAGAAATTTCATTTCGACGATTTACTAGGTTTCTTTTTGCGATAGAAACGGACCACTAGCTAGCTACACTTTGGATAGATCGGTGGCCACTGTTAATCATTACCGCTGCTTGTCTAAGCAGCGGCGATCACCAAAGGTAAAATAATGTTTGACACCACATTTGGTTACGTTTACTATGAAGTCAGGATGGCCAACGACAAAACGAAGTGCAATGGTTATACCAGTAACAGCTTCTGTCGAGATTAGCCACGTCTAGCATCGCCAGAACGTGAATCAGCACCGGTATAAGGCGTCTCCACCTTTTTGCTGCTATTTTTTCGTTGGCTACCGAACAACCAGCTGCCCCACCTTCGGTGTAGTTTTCACTCCTCGGAACACAACAACGATTAAAAAGGATGATATGTATTTCGTCAGACAATATGACCTTTGTGCACTTGTTGTCCTTCTCGCCATCGCTCGTCGATCTCTTCTCAGCTTAGAGAATCCACTAGCAGCGCGAAGTCCCCTCTGGAAATGTTCGAACCACTCCCGCCGACCCAACGGACCACCGACTCAGCAAAGCCCAAGAAAATAGGAAAACAAGAAACGTAATTACTTATTGGTCCTAGCAAGCCGTATTTCGAGAGTGGTGTCGTCTGTGGCCTTCTCTACTTTCCTTGTGGGATACGCGCACTTTAACGCTTTATCGTTGCGGAGGACGGATGGAACACTCGGAAAATCTACAACAAGGCCGGCGGCAATAGCGCGAGCTGAACCGAAAAAAGTAGCGTCGAAAAATGCAAGTGGCCACCATCGCCGATAGCATATTGACACCGATGACAAGGGCTCTCAGCAATTCGATCAAGGAAGCTCGCTAGCTCCCCTTCAAGCACACGCAGCACGCTCTGAACTACTGGATGGCATTTCACATTAAGCCTATACACCGATTCCCCCAGGTGACAATTACTCTAGCACAGTAACATCGCACCCAATGTACTTCTTTCAACTGAAATGCCTACAAGAAACTACTCGAAGCATTATTTGCGGTGGGGCATCGAAGCCTGAGTTAAATTTCACCTTCTCTTACGGCCGTGTACTATGTACAATCATGCTCCTATTGCAGATAAATGCTGAACAGCCATGTGATCGCTCGCAAAAACCGTTTGTCAGCATTCGTGCCAGTACCGCGCAATTTATACTGTTTAAGCAATTTTCTTGAATACAATTGCTTATTTGCTACGATTTCCCTCGGTTCCCGGCTAATAAACGTACTAAATTAGAATACATCGTAAAAACGCAGGACACCTACCACGTAGACTAATTGGACAATTCGATGCGCATCTTCTTCAGGCTGAAGCTTTTATCCGTAGCCGATTTGAAAGGACAAACAGGTTTTCGCTGACATGCTTCGTTGGTGGGCGGCTGAAGTGTAGAGGATAGAGAGGACGTGTGCTTGTGACAACATAGAGCTCGCATCGCATAGGTGCCTTACTGACGTTGCTATAGGGACAACTGTGCCTACTGATAATATCAATTTCGATTATTACTGCTACTTCTTGCTTAGGACTATCGTACTGTGCATCGGTGTATCGTACATTTGTAGGCACATGAAAAATCATGTGATCGTGAAGCTAGCTTTTACAAACGCTAATTATGACCTGTCGATAGATGCTATTACACAATAATAATATTCACTATTTTAGATTGCCCCCCATATAAAACTACAATACCAAGGCCAATCAATAACATAATATCAGTGCCACTTAGCCTCGCACACGCAATGCGCGCAAAGCGTGAATTTCTATAGCTGGCAGAACGGAAACAGATCGCGACCCATCCAGTCTGCCCTTTTCCCTAATCTACCAAAGCAACATAAACGATAATGTTGTCGTATTGCCCCAATGGTGCCGCTCACTGAAATAACACGACGTACGCTAACATCACTGTGTTACGGCTTTCGCAGAACTACAAAATATTCGAAGTTATTCCTACTTTGCCCTAACGGTATTAAAGAGTGCAAAGCGGTCCTCGTAGCCGGAGATTAGCAATCATGTAATAGATCCAACTAGATCAAATGATTGATGATAGGACATTTCCAGATTTTTTTTAATAGGTTATTAGAAAAGGCTATAGATATCACTAGCCAGCGATGTCGATCGACGATTAGGTGACTCGAACGAGCCTATTCAACAACGGACCTTCCTGCAGTCGGCATAATAACAGCGGCAACAATACGACACCATTCAGGAAGCTTGCGTTCACCGCTTAAAGTTGACGCTTGAGTAAGTGAGTGCTCAGATATATAGACAGAGAGTATATCCTAACGTAAAGCGACCGCCATTGTCTTCGACACTACGGTAAACAGTAGCCGTCATTTCAAATGATCCCTGTGCCATCGAAGCAACAAGCAATTGATTCTAACGAATACATAGCATAGTTA